TTTCCCGTCGACTCGATAATTTAACACTGGCGCCATCTCGCGGCATTCTCCCATCTGAACTTCTTTACCACACAGCACACCATCAATAATTTCTCCTAATTATACAAAATATCCTATTAATGGGTATTAATTGGGACCAATTGTTTGTCTATCAGCATTTAAATAATTTTTTGATTATATTCCAATAATTTTTGGCCCATTTTTCGCCTTAAAATGACATCCATGCGCATCCATGCTACAACATGGATGTACCATGGAACCTCAATCGCCAGGGTGTCGGGTGAAATAGTCATTTTGGAGTAACTCCGTCGTTGTCTACTTATCAAAATTAGAAATACACATTCACACTAATAAAACTTGGAATTATCAGAACGTCGTGCATTTCAAAACAAATATACACGCACAAGTGAATCTTTGCTATAATACAAATCAAGTTATTGGGGGGAACCGGTCAATGGAATACTGTGAGTGTGTGGGTTTACGTGAGTGACAGTATTCAGTGTACATTGTGATTCTGTGATATGGCAACAAGTATTATTACTTGTTGAAATTTGTATTTATTATTGATCTATTGAAAAAGTTGAATTCTCATCTGGCGTGTCTTCGACGATTGAAGGATGTAATAAATAAAATTGACATTGGTAATATGTGTTTCTGTAATTGTTTTTTACATTCGTAATGGGAAACAATTTCGGAAATTTTTTTCGGGGGGAAAAATCCGAGAACCAAATAAGGGCCTTTAAATATGCATTTCTTAACTCTAATGAATGACCATTTGGCGAGAGCGAATAGACCCTAGCCTCCAACCAAATCCATTCGTTAACAATAACGAATCCGTCCTATCAGTGTGAGTGAAGGGTCATTTGAAAACCCTGGTACGAACAGATGTTGATCAATGAACGCATCATTGCTCTATTCTTCATCTTCGTCATCTTCAATATTACATGTGACTGCCAAAAGTTCCCTTTGACGGTTGACAGAAATTCACATAGAACGTACATTTGGAATAACTGCCATGACACCACAGTGTTGCTGCTGCTCTTTTCAATTGCAGAGATATGCATAATAAACCTCACATTTTTAGCTTTGTTTCTAGGTTGATATCCGATTTTCTTTTCGGGGAAGGGATGGATGAAAAATAGTACTTTTCGTCACTAGGCTGCAAGAAACTTTTCTGGTGAATATGAGTTTGCAACACGAGCCGAAGGGGAGGATGCAATCATATGAGCTGGGAAAGTTTTTTTCGACAAAGTAACGAACATTATTTTTTGTCATTGGTCCGTAGACAGCGATTCAGGGACACGCAGCGACCGTGAAACGCTGCCTTACGGACTAAATGACGAAAAGATGCATTCCTGAAGTTTGAAATTAAAAAAAAACAGAATATGGTGACATCACAATGTAAGCAACACCTCCTCCCACCCCCGTCGCAGTCGTCATGAAATGCAGACTCCCCTCCACCCCCTAATCACGTGACGTAATATTTGAATGCTCCCTACATTGTCTTCCACCGAAAAAAAGAACATACGTTTATTTATGATCCATTGAAGATCCATAGGTATCCTGAACTGGAAAATAATTATGAATTCGGAGTGAATAAAGACAGATGTAGACAGTTATTTTTTAATAAAATAAATATTTTAATGATCTCAATATTCGCCCAGCCATTCTTGTACCCTCATATTACATTTCTGAGATTTTTCTCAACTTTTCCTACACTGATGGTGTCTACAGTGAGATTACGCATTTTACATTGATTAATCCTAGTGAACCGAGGAAAATAATTATATCAAATCTGAAGTTATATACAAAGTTTACGCCCAAATGAGTATAAGTTGTTAACAAAGTGCTGCTCAACAAATATGAAACTCTACGTAATGATTGTATTAATTTTCCTTATTTACAATACATACGACTTCACAGATCTCGATTTTCAAATAAAGTTTAAAAAAATAGGAATTCAGCCATAAGATTCAATTTAATTGAATTGCCATATCAAAAACTTATAGATAATGGAAACGTAAATAAAAAATTCATGATAAAAAATAAAAAATTGGTGAAACGTCAGGATTCTCGACTGAGTATAATCTTCAAGTCTTCCGGCAGTGTTAATGTAATGTCATCTATCCTTTCGCACAATTTTTCACGCACAGTTTGAGTAATTGGCACATCTTCATCGTAACTTTTTTCTAATTTTTGACGAATACGTAGAATCATGTCGACTACTTCTACTTCTTGTTTATCCTGGACCCAATTTTTAAGATCCTGGAAATTACAAAGAAAAAAACAATTAATGTGAAATTTTCGTTCAGTTTTCTTCAGGCAGAGAAGGGCAAAAAGAGATAAAATCTAATGAGGCACACACGAAAAAAATTAATAAAAAAACCTAACGAATTCGCTAGACAATGCTATTGGAATTGTATTGAACTTTCTATTAGTTTTTGTCCGATTTCATTGCAATCTATACAACTTATTCTGTTGAGATATTTTCTATGAAATTTCCTTGGCTCGAATTTGCTACGTTTTTTTCATTCTACTCTTCTTTTTTTTCATCAAGAAAATAAAATAAAAACTTGGAAAACTTGAGCCGAGCAATTTCTGTAGAAAATATCTCAATAGAATAAGCTGTATAGAAAAATTGAACATTTCAATCAAATCGGCCAAAAACTAATAGAAAGTTCAATAGAAATCCAATAGAATTGTCTAGCAAGTTCACTACGTTTTTCTATAAAATTTTTTCATACGTGAGTTTCAATGATTTGAAAGACTTTTTTTCTACTTTAACCTAATATTTAAATTCATTGACTGCGCAATGACTCTTATTCAGAGGAATTCTGAAGATTCACGTACGTAAAAATTTTACAGAAAAAGCTACTACATCTGCTCACAAATTCTGCTGGATTTCCATGAGAAATTCTAAGAGCTGTTCGTCGATTCTATTAAAAAATTCAGTAGCTTTTACGCGCGTTTTTTCAATGGACATGTTCAATAGAGAATATTTTATAGGAGCAATCAATTGAATTCGATTTACAACTCATTCTACTGAAATATTTTCTACAGAAATTCCTTGGCTTAAATTTGTCAAATTTTCTGGTGATTTGTTTTTTTTCATGAAAACAGAAAAAATTAAACTGGAAAAAGCTTGGACAATTTATGTCGCAAAAAATTCGATAGAAAATATCTCAATAGAATAAGGTATAAAGAGAGTTTGTATTGAACATGTTCTATCGCAGAAAAACGTGCAGAAAGGCTGCAGAATTTTGCAGTAGAATCGGCGAAATACTATAGACTGTTCGGAAGAAATACAATAGAAATTGAAGAGCATTTTCTATCGAAAACGCTAGGTTTTCATATTAAATTTATTCGCGTGTGTCCTTTTTGCTATACTTCTGTCCACAATTTTTAATATGAAAAGTTTTACCGCTTGAGAAAGCGCTTCAAGTTGCAGAGCTTGCAACTTCAATGTTAATTCAGTGTAACGTGAGAGGAACCATCCAGAGAAATTTGGAGTCCTGAAGAATCGTTTGTACAGTCCCACCCAGTCACCCTTGATTCCTATCGTTAACTGAGGACCAGCAGTAGGTAGAGTGGCTAGGAAATCTTCTGGGTTGAACATGTGAGGTATTGGAGTTGCCTAAAATCACCACAAGGACATATTTTTTTGCATAAAAGGAATAAAGAAATTGATTCAGTATTAACCCTCGCTCTCTCGCTCAATGAACATACTACTGAAGAATAAAGCCCAAAATCGTCGCTTTTTGCGGTTTTTCGAATACAATACTCTACAGGACTACCAGTTTTGAAAGATGAAATGTTCACTTCGTGCGACATTTACCCCTTTTTCTATGCATTTTTATAAAATTTCGATAATTATAAAAAAAAAATTGGAAAGTAATGCAATACACGTAACTGTGACGTATTGGGATCGATCAATACGTCGATTTAGTTAGTAATTATATAAAATAATAATATAATGCTGGATGGTGGGAACAAGAAATATGATTTCTCTTTCCTGTCATCCAGACACTGGTCAGCAATCCCACGGTGTCATTTGGACACCGTGGTAAGCAGTCCCACGGTTTTTCAGGAGTCCAGTTCAGAACGATGAACTGTTTGACTGTTTGAGTCTCTGTCAATGATGACACGAGACAGTGTTAGTGGAGAAAACCGTGAGACTGCTTAGCTCAGCGAATTGGGGCTTTGCCAAGTTTTGAGGAGTCCTTTAGAGTCAGAGTAAGATCGGGAGCGACGTGGAGCGGATCTCCAAGCTCATAAGTCTAAGTCCGATCTCTTAATAACGCGGTTACCGAACTCATCAATAACACTGTCGTGTACCGTAGTTAGTAGTTGAGTTAAATATACCATGCTTTTACCAGTTAATCGTGTATTTATCTTCGGTACAATACCTTCCAATTCCCTTATCATTCCCAACTTGAGTGAATCCCACGCGACAGTTAGCCGGTCAACATAGGGTACGACGGCCCTAGGAAAGGAAAGCTTCCCTGGGACTAGTCACATGTTAGATCACCCAGGATTAATGCGGTGGGTGATCTAACTCAAAACGTCACATAACTAATTCCAAAAAAATAGATTAATTTACGAAAAAAAAATTGAAGCAGAAAACGTAAATATTATAATGGAAAACTTTATTTGAAAATTTTGATTTTTTATGTTCATTGACTGAATCAGGGCTCGATAACAATAAGACTCTCCTTCCGTTCACCCCCCCCCCCCCCCCCCCCGCCCAAAGATCAACAGACGAAACACCTTAACTTGATATATATAATCAAGTTTGAAAAGAGGCGTTCGCATGCGCATCGACCCCGTACGTGACTGGTTAATGGAACATCTCGGGCAACACCGAGTAACGGATAGGCGATGTTTGTCGATTAATTGAAAACATCGATTTTTCATGCCCGAACATCCACGTTTTTCATTCGATGTTTTCAATGGCCGATTATTCGACTTTCGATTCTTTTTTCCAAACATCGATGTTCTTGATCAAGCTAACAAAATTTTTCATTTTTTTTATCGAATAATAATGTTGATTGATTGAAAATAAAAAAACAATAATTTATCCCCAATCATAAATAATTATTTTAAGGTTGGTCTATCGGCCAACCATTATCAATAATAATATATATAACAATCAACAATTATTGTAGCTAACGACCAGCCACAGAAAATATCTTTCTATATAATAAAAAAATAAAGGTAATAATTCAGACGACTCTGAAATTTGCAAGACACTAAAATTCAGTCGACGCCCCCAAGGTCATGGCGGTTGGTCCTCAAGGTCATAGGGGTTGGTACCCAAGGTCATGGCGATTGGTCCCCAAGGTCACGGGGGAAAAAATTTTTTACCCTCATTTTGCTATCCGGGTATAATAATACGGACTGGAGTAGGGTAAACTGTATTTAAAAGGGTAAAACGGGTTGAGGTCGAGTGAATTGGTCTAACATGGGGTAAAACGGGTTAAATTTGTGTGAATTTAGACTAACATGGGATAAAACGGGCTAAAATCAGTCAGGAAGGGTTGGGTGCTTCTGGTTCACCCTATTATATAATTTCAGGTACACAAAAATGTCTCACAAATAAATGGGGAGGTGGGGGTCGGTGTCCAAGGTTATGGAGACCTGGTGATGGACGATAAACCTGACGAAAAGGATTGAACTTGAGAGATGAACTATAGGTGAACCTGAGAAAAAATTAAACCTGAGGAAACCCCTTCTTTATTTATTTTTGACTAAACCCCCTGACCGGGAATACCGCCTGCAGTTCCAGTAGTCTTAAACAGTCGCACTGGGGGGGAGCGAGCGAAGGGAGCAGGGGGGGGGGGGGGAAACCCCCGGGGNCCGAGGTTGGCGAGCGAAGCGAGCAGGGAGCGAAGCCCCCTAGTTCAATCTATTTTTTTTTTAATTAATCAACAACCCTGTTTCGAGATTCAAAATTTGACTCTCCAGCAGTAGGGTAAACAGGTCAATTTCTGGACGGGGGTTGGTCTCTGGACGACTTCAACTTGCATTGAATATTCCACAAATAAAATGAAAATTGTATTGATTATTTCACCTCTCCATAATATCACTTGTGTATAATCGTGTGATCACTTATTTTCTTCTATTGATCATTATTTAATAAATAAATAAAATATAACCCAGTCGTCCAGAAATTGGGGGTTTCGGCTACATTCAATTATTTCTGAATTTAATTATTCTTTGTTTTGTTATTTTCACTTTAAACTATTTTTTGCTGCTAATTAAAACATTCTTGAAGGTATGGAAGCCATCATATATCCCCATTTAAGTGATTCTTTTATTTTAGATCCTACCACGAAACTGGAATTTCCTTTAACCGTCCAGAAATTGGCCTGGTCACTTATCATTGAAACGTAAGTTGCTAGGTTTATATTTTTTAATACATATTTTACATATTTTCAATAAAAACGAGATAAAAAAATTTGCTTTATTCCTGTGTAATGAGAAACAATGCTCCCATTCGGAGCAAAAACATAAATTTTTTGAATAATCGATGTTTTTTCCAGAAAAATCGATTCACAACATCGATGGTTTTAAAGATATCGCCCATACCTAACACCGAAAGGAACAGACAACTACAGATAAATACCTTGAACGGCGATATGTTCTTCTGCAACGGCATTAAACTGGCAATATATCTCTCCAGAGGAATCATGAAGCTCTCAGTGAGATCCATCAAATGCCTCTTCAAAAGTGCTGTCTGCACTTCCCTAGGTCTCTTGGTCTGCGTTCCCCTCAGCAATTTCTTCAAAATCACCTTATCCTTCTGCAAAAATGTCTTATACTGCGTGTAGACACCTGGCTTTGAATCGAGTATCTTCAAACTCTCAGACTTCTTAATTCGGTATTTTTGATTATCGGAGCTTGACACGTCACTGATACGTATAATATGTGGCCATCGTTGCAATGTTTTGGCGAAGAATGGATTAGTCACACCCAGTATCACTGCTGGAGGTGTTGGTGCGTCCATTGTGTACTCCTTGAACTCGGAATCGTGGATAGTGAAGTATGGACGATAGTCTGCACAATATTTCAGGGGTGCTATTGTCGCTACTAGAGCTTGAACCATTTCCGCGCAGGTCGTTGGGGAGCCCGCCATCACTACTATTGGCTCACCGAGGAGAACCAACTCCCAGAGAAGGTGCACGTGGCTCACTACGTTGGATAGACTTTGGAACATGTCACTTTCGTAGGCAGACGCTACTATCAGCCTGCGAAGAGAATTTACGCATTTCGAGGTTTTTACTGCTTCCATTGCGCTTACTGAAGGTACTGCTGCCTTGTAATTCGTGTTTGGAATATATGTCTGCAATTANGTGTGATCACTTATTTTCTTCTATTGATCATTATTTAATAAATAAATAAAATATAACCCAGTCGTCCAGAAATTGGGGGTTTCGGCTACATTCAATTATTTCTGAATTTAATTATTCTTTGTTTTGTTATTTTCACTTTAAACTATTTTTTGCTGCTAATTAAAACATTCTTGAAGGTATGGAAGCCATCATATATCCCCATTTAAGTGATTCTTTTATTTTAGATCCTACCACGAAACTGGAATTTCCTTTAACCGTCCAGAAATTGGCCTGGTCACTTATCATTGAAACGTAAGTTGCTAGGTTTATATTTTTTAATACATATTTTACATATTTTCAATAAAAACGAGATAAAAAAATTTGCTTTATTCCTGTGTAATGAGAAACAATGCTCCCATTCGGAGCAAAAACATAAATTTTTTGAATAATCGATGTTTTTTCCAGAAAAATCGATTCACAACATCGATGGTTTTAAAGATATCGCCCATACCTAACACCGAAAGGAACAGACAACTACAGATAAATACCTTGAACGGCGATATGTTCTTCTGCAACGGCATTAAACTGGCAATATATCTCTCCAGAGGAATCATGAAGCTCTCAGTGAGATCCATCAAATGCCTCTTCAAAAGTGCTGTCTGCACTTCCCTAGGTCTCTTGGTCTGCGTTCCCCTCAGCAATTTCTTCAAAATCACCTTATCCTTCTGCAAAAATGTCTTATACTGCGTGTAGACACCTGGCTTTGAATCGAGTATCTTCAAACTCTCAGACTTCTTAATTCGGTATTTTTGATTATCGGAGCTTGACACGTCACTGATACGTATAATATGTGGCCATCGTTGCAATGTTTTGGCGAAGAATGGATTAGTCACACCCAGTATCACTGCTGGAGGTGTTGGTGCGTCCATTGTGTACTCCTTGAACTCGGAATCGTGGATAGTGAAGTATGGACGATAGTCTGCACAATATTTCAGGGGTGCTATTGTCGCTACTAGAGCTTGAACCATTTCCGCGCAGGTCGTTGGGGAGCCCGCCATCACTACTATTGGCTCACCGAGGAGAACCAACTCCCAGAGAAGGTGCACGTGGCTCACTACGTTGGATAGACTTTGGAACATGTCACTTTCGTAGGCAGACGCTACTATCAGCCTGCGAAGAGAATTTACGCATTTCGAGGTTTTTACTGCTTCCATTGCGCTTACTGAAGGTACTGCTGCCTTGTAATTCGTGTTTGGAATATATGTCTGCAATTAAATATAGATTGGCGATCAATTGACGGAGAGAATGGTCTTCAAGATTGAACATAGTTCTTTTGAGAGTTGTGTGATTATTTTGAAAACTAGGATTTTAACACAAAATGAAGTTTATGATTTTCAGAATTAAGTTGACGATTCTGAAATGCCCATGTTTTTAGAAGGGACAGTACTGACGATGGAAAACAGGTTGCTTAATTTCAGAGGAAAAATCAGCACCTAAAACTTACTCTTTCCGAATGACAAAGGGTCTTAAATCAAGAATCATTGGGTTCATAAATTAAGAACATTCAACAATAGTTGGTAGCAGGTGATAGATTTTGAATAGAAAAGGATAATGAACGGATAAAATTTGTAAATGTGAGTAGATCAATTTTAGAAAAGGAAGAATCGTGGATTCAAGACAGAATAAATTCTTAATTTGAGAACCCAGATGTTCTTGATATAGATTTCCTTGAAATATGAATGATGAAAAAATGCGCCTTAATTTATGTACAATTATGCTAAATATCAGTAAAAATTATTGAAAAATGAAACATTTTTCTCTGATGGTCAGGGAAAATTTTCTGAAAATAAGTGAATATTGTTATATTTTTTTCTTTTATTCAGATTTCTTTCCTACTACCATTGCGGTTTTATAGGCTCTCCATTCGTCTGCCTCGCCTCTCCCACTTCTCTCTTCTAAATAAGTAAATATTTCACTTCTTTCTATATTTTTTTCAAATTTTTCGTATTTATGAGAAAATCTTCCTGCGCATAACTCCCGAAAAAATTGAGATGTTGAAATTTGGTGAGATTGTAGCTCTTATGATATTATAGGATGAAATTGTCGGTAGGCGAAACCGAACAAGTGGTTTAGAACATATTCAACTTTTTGTGAAAAAGTGTTTTGTTGAATATCTCCCAAACTACTGGTCCAATTAATTTTTTTTCAAAATGCTCGTCTTGTTTTCTTCTTTGTACAGAAGGAGAGGTTAATAGACCTTCGTTCTAACTGAAAAAAACTTGAGGCTAAAATCTCATGTTTTGTTGTGAAATTAATGAATACCAAGAGGGTTGAACACTTAACAGACCGAATTATAACGACTAGAAATCGTTTCATTCATCCTCTTTAGATATTTTAATCCTGGAACAGTCACCTTATTAGGGGAGGCTGGCGTAAAACGGACACTTTTGACTTTTTTTAAAATGTTAATGAGGGGTTGAAATGTTGATAAAATTTAATCTTTTTTTTTCAATACAAAGAACAACTCTTTCCCTTTGTGACGAGCCTAAACTGAGCTCAATTGATAAATTTGTTTCTGAGTTATAAATAATTTAAAAAAAGTCTAAAGTGTCCATTTTACCCCACCCTCCCCTATATTGATATTATTTCTTGTACTATTTTGTCAGAGGCTGAATTTCTGTTATCTCTCTGAGATTCATGGATATTTTTCAAAAGATAATCTCGAAATAAAATTAATTTGTTCTGTTTCAGTTCTATATGAATAAGGGATATTCGACATGAATAAAAATCAGTCCATTTTGCGGCAATTAGGGTAAGGAAATCAAGGGAAAGATGGTTTTACCTGAAAGAGAACTCCTAAAAGCGGGAGATGTATCAGCTGTCCTGGCAATGGCTCTGGCCAGTGGTCAATTTCACGAATTGCAACATCCATAATTGTGTTTCCAGCGTCGAAAAACTCAGGAGCAAGTAAAGCACACAATTCGGTGAATAAATTGACGAATGGTAGTTTCGATATGAGAACAACGCTCTGTAAAAAATTACGAGTAAATGACAGGATTCTTTTGGCAAGGTCGTTTCAATGATTGGTCTAAAATGATGATTCAGGATTTACCTTTTGGAAATAGCCCCTCGGTAGAGTCTTATCCTTAACTTGTCTGAAGTATACATATCCCCAGTAGAAATCCTTATCGAACTGGAGAAAACTCGGTGACTTTCTGTTGTACTCTTTGAGTGCTAGTGGTTCACGTGTCGAGAAATTCGAATTCTGTCGAAGTCTAACGTGATACTGGGTGTCACCCATGCACCCAGAGTTTGAGTCTGGAAACGCGAGGTAACAGACATTTGATCTTTCTGATTCCGATAGTTTCACGTGACTCGGATAAATTGCCTGAAAAATGCAATTTCATCAATGCAATGATTGAATACTATTCCCGCAAATTCTGTAGAGTAAGTATAAAAGTCAACTGATGCATGAAAATTTCACGTACGAAAAAATGTAATAGAAAAACCTAGCGAATTCGTTGGACAATTCTATTGGATTTCTATTGAACGTTCTATTCATTTTTGGGTGATTCTATTGTAACGTTCAACAGGAAATATTTCATAAAAAAAGTCTACAGAATTTGATTTTTCTATAAGACGTATTCTATTGAGCTACTTTCTATAGAATTTCCTCGACTCAAATTTACTTTTTTTATCTTTGATTTTCTTGATGAAAAGAAAAGAAAAATAGAAAACAGACAAAAACTTAGAAAATTCGATAAAATTCTATAGAAAATGTCTCAATGTAGTTGCATAAAAAAAATAGAATTCTGTTAACTTTTTCTCTAGAATATTTTCTATTGAACATTTTCAACAGAATCGACCGAAAACTAATGAAAAGTTTAATAGAAATCTGATAGAATTATCTAACGAATTCGCGACGATTTTCTATTAAATTTTTTCGTGCGTTATGTCCTAATTATTTTGCAAATAACTTCTGAGTGACGCTTTCGAGAGGAATTTATTGAAAAACCTTTTTTGTAGTTTTTAGAATGATCTAGAAAATAAATGTTTTGATAAACTTCTCAGAACCTTTCCACTCCGAAAATATTTGCAGAATAATACACACGTGTATTTGAAATTCAAATTCAGTTTGAAAATTCTATTTGACGTAAAGTCAAATAGAACTGAATTCTGTTGAGAAAATGTTCAGTCTCTACTTGTATGAATTTTGTTAAGTGGAGAAGCAAATGACATATTACAAGTCCGATTCATTTTAAAAATCTTTTTAAAGAGACGAGATTTAAAGGAATCGATTAAAACACCTTTTTTATAATCCATAAAAATTTTTATGAAGAAAATTCTTGATATAATTTGAATTTCTATTCAAAGACGTTCAATGATGAAGTGAAAAGAGCAAATAAATAACTGGAAGGCAAACAAACAATCACGTGCTGCTAATTTTGCAAGTTTTTTCAGAGTGGAGACGTTTTGAAGAATTTATGAAAGCCCTTTTTTCGCTCATAGAATTTCCTATAAGAAACGTATTTTCAGAAAAAGTCAGGACAACGGAAAATGAACCGAAAAGAATTTCAATGAGTTTAGTAAAACAGTGAAAGAGCAAACAAAGCGGTAAGTCCCATTTATTTGGTAAATATCTTGAAAGGGAAGAGGCTTAGAGGAATTTCTAAAGACTTCCTTGTAGTCCATGACATTTCGGACAGAAAATGTCTTAATGAATTCTTCTGAAAGTTTTCACTCCACAAATGTTTGACGACTTCGATTATATATCAAAAAAATATGTAACATATAAGTATACATTCACTTCATACTGTTTATAATCAAAGTCAATCAACGCCATTTTGACCAAATTCGTGGAATTTCGAGGAGAAAAAATTGCAAATAAAATAGATCTAGGACGAAACCCAACTTTTATGACGGCTCAAAATACATGTTTTGATTACAAGAGTTACTGAAAAAAAGACGAAAAAAATAAAACGTGACAAAATTTCGAAAATTCAATTTTTTCAACTTTCTTTTGGAAAATTCAGTATTATAAGCACCTAGAGGTAACAAAATTACTCAAAATATTCTTATAAATGGTAAAAAATCGAAAATTTCGACGTGTCATTAATCAAAATCGGATGAATAGAACTGGAGTTATTGAAAAAAAAACAAAACAACAAAAAAATCATATCTCCGAAATGGGCTATTAAAAAAATCTAAAGAAAATTGAGAGATAGTTTTTCTAGTCCCCCAATGGTAGAAAAAATCGAGATCAATTTCCAAGAGGGTGAGGGTCACTCATTGGACATGGAATACCTCATATATATTTTTTCTAAATTTATGTCACGTGATTGACAGAGTGAATGTCACCAAATTTTATCATTTTCCAGCTCTCTCGAAATGCTTCAGAATGAAATCAACATTTTTCCATTCTTATCACTTGCTCCAAACAGATTGAAAACCTCAGAAAGTCCAGTATACCACTGCTCCATGATTGAATGAAGAAAAAAAACAAGCAATAGAGTAACAACTTTACCTCTACAGCCTGTCCCAGCTCCAAATCAAAAGTGACAACACAGATGCAGTGTAACCAGTTATGAAAACTATCCCATTTCTTCTTGACCCCAGGTTTCTCCTCAAGTGCCCCATTGCACGTCTCTCTCTTCGATGAAGAACACGAGGGCTCTGACATATCGAATAGTAGCCCCTCAGCAATTTGTTCACTTCATAATGAACACATTAATTTCATTGTGGATCTCTGTGTCACTCAGCGAGTCATCTGGGCATTCGTACCATGAATGACATCAGTTGCAAATTGGATTATGTTCAAAATATATGTAGCATTACTACAACATTTCAAAGCAACAGTTTACGGTTTCCTGAATCATCCAATTATAGATATTTCCGCATTAAATCCAAATATTCACTTACATCAACTGTTTAATAACCAAAATTTTCTCCCAAAATGTCAATCAATGGATGACGTACTTCATTTTTAATAGGTTGGAACAAATACGACAAGAGTACAAAAAGCTTTGATTATCTTAGAATCCGAGAAAAATCATCCAGATGGGATAAAATCTGGAGTGATTGAGTGACATTCATGTGGTAGAAATCCCCCTTGCAAAAATAAATCAATTCACACAGCTGAATCTACTCCATCAACTCCAGAGAGAACTTCCACTCACCCCGATCACCAACATTGATTCAACATAATGCCTTTGAACATCGCCTCTCGTCTGTTTGCTTTCATTACTCCAATACCATATCTCACTATTCTTTCACTGGGACAGCTTTTTCGTGTCAACACTCGTGCAACATATATCGTATAAATACTCGTAACCGTGTAATTGCAGTTAATTTCATGCGCAAGCGTGAGGAACAGCTGTTTACATTGGTAGTTAGGGGCATAGACATATAATAAATAGACTGCGGGTTCGAGTGGTGGGGGCGTCAGGAAAGAGAAGAAGAGCGCTGTTTTGTCGCCGTTTTCTCTCTTTGTCGAATAGTCCCTAGAGTGGGGCAAGAACGGTCACGGAGTGGGGGATATAATTGGATATGGCTACTGTGCTGACATTATTCGTATTCAAAACGTTGCATCAATGTCAAATTTTTTTTGTTGACACTTGTTTTTTAATTCATTGTGATATATTACACCTGAAAATTCTTCCAAAGGAGCAAAATGCCGAGCGAGATATTTTCTTTTTCACGAAAAATCTTCCCAAACTACTTATAGAATTACTTTTTCTCTACAACGAATTTCATTGAATTAACTAGATGTTTTGCACTTTCATTATGGTCTCAGCCCCTGTAAATAGCATCTACTCAAAAGTTCATTCTATTTTCAATTTATATTTATAATTTGATAATTATATGTTATATGTGTTCGATTAATTTACGAATATCATCGTGAAATATAAAAATATTATTGTGAAAACATCAAGTGCTGTTTGTTTCTCTCAATCCTCTGTCCCATCAATACAATCATTTCAGCATAGAATTTTTTTTACTGGGCGGCGAACTTATAATTTAAAGACACGAAAAAAGTGAACCATGAAAAAATATAACGTGTAACAGCTTTTTTTACAATCTTGGCACATCCAGCAAATTACAAAATTGTTACGACTAACTAGAATAATGCTTGCAAAGCTTTGCTTCAACTTCTTCAACAATGTCTTAATTTTCTGCATTGATCAGAGTGGAAAAATTTCGAAAAATTGAATTCTAAACCGTCTTTTGCAAACATTGAACCACAATTCTACAGAATTTTCAACCATCAGTTACTTCGTAATTTCACTCATATTTTAGTACATATAAAAAATGAATAGTAGCGAGTTAATTTCTCCCAACTTCTGACTTTAAATGATAATTGAGTCATTTTTATTTCAAACTCTTACGAAAATTCGCATTCGTTGGATCTAGCATTTCGTTCACTCGTAGATGTGTTTGAAACTTCCCACGTTCCCGTTCTTTTCCCCTACTCCTCATTTATGACCCACCAATCAATGACGACTATCCCCCTGTCCGGCACCGTTCGACAGAGAAAGTAACCGGCGACAAACGCAACTCTCTCTGTCCGTTTCATGTTTTTTCGATATACAGGAGAGATAGGAAACCCGCAGTCTATGTATTATATGTCTCTGCTCCACTCGCAGCCACTCGTATATATACCTAAACTAGCGCCGTCGCGGCCGCAAGCGTCCGCGACGTTGATGTCCTTTCCTGTTTTCTTTCATTTATTTCTCCCCAAAATTGATGATTCATTAGGATTTTATTGTACTAAGTATTGAAATCAATGGAAAGAATGCGTTTCGGTTCATCATCTGTTCGATTTCAATATTTCAATACGTGATTGATTCTGAATTTCCGTGAAATTCTATTTAGAGTGCAAAACGATAGTTATCAAAGTGCTCGCATCCCAGAATTTTATAATCTTCGTCTCCCCGTTCGTTCTCCTTTACTACTTTATGAAAGCATTCAATTATTTTTCTTTTTGAAAAATTATATGACCAAGTCTGATGATTATTCATTCATTTGGATTATCTTGGCATCATTTCATGATCCTTTTCACAATTTTTACTTTTTCACTCATTTTGTGATCTTTTTCACAGTTTTTTTTTCAAAATTTTTCCTAAAATCTCAAAATTTTTGTGATTTCTTTTTAAGAATGTTGAAAATTTTTGCTGAAATCTTTGAAAAAATCCAAGCTATTTCTCAAGTAATTTGCTTTTTCATTTCAAAGTGCAGTGTTCGGGGTCACGTTCCTCCTTCTCATCAATTTTATTAGGAAAATTCCGGCGTTTTTTTATAGATTGTTCTCCCATTGTTTTTTTTTTCAAAAATTCACAAATATTTGAGAAATACCTAAAATCTTCTCTACTTTCCGAAAAACCTCTGGATTTCCTGAAGTTTCTTCAGAAATCCTTATATTATGAATTCTTTGAAAAACTCCTAAATTATTTTATGTTCGGAAAAGACCGACGGTTCTCTGATGTTGTAAGGAATCTGCAAACTTTCTTGAAGTTTCTAAAGCTGGATTTCATGAAGAAACACATCCCTTCATTTTTCAAAATATTCTCTCAATGAATGCTCACATCAGGAATAGAACCTGCCCTAAAATTTTCATATTTCTAGCTCCAATAATTTAGACTTTGCATTATTACCTCAGGCAAACTAAAAGGTTGTCTTTTCATTTTCATCACGCAATTGCGGCAATCATGTTCATTGTTCATAAACATTCTCATTGCAAAAAGCAATACTACTAAAGAAAATAATATATCCCATCTTATTAGCAATTCATTTTTTTTTCATATTGTGACTCATTTCTCAACTTTCTCTCAAACATAATTCAGAGAGTAAATTTCTTGAAGTCAATGTTTGGTGAAACTTTGGTTAAAGCGCACTCCAACGTTGCTATGAAATTTTGTAATCCGTTCGCTCGGCAATTCAATTAATCTGTTGTTCATATAATCGTTCCGTACTTGGAATTTCTTAAAATATTTTTCAAATTCAAAATTCGAACTTAAAATTACAATTTGACTTCTGCTCCTTCATTTTTTGTGAATTGAAAATTCATATAAATAATTACATAAACATTCTAATTCTTGTTCTTTGCTGTCATGGAATGTTAAGTTACAGCCTTTTATTCTTAATACAACTTTTTAATGTAAACATTGTGCGGTTGAAAATTCATGTAACTTGAGAGTTTTTATCTTCATGCTATTAAAAAGTGTTGATTTCTATTGAATTTTCAATGAAATTTGAAATGTCATAACTTTTCCCTCTCAAACTGAAATCAATGCTTCTCCTCTAAAAATTGCTACTAAATCTATTCATAAAAGATACGAAGGGTAAAACTCGAATTGAAAAAAATCGAACGCCGAAAGTCGAACTCAAAATAGCTCCAATGAGGACGAACTTCGGCGGGGACACCGACAGATGGCATTGAAAAAAAACGGGTACTATAAAGGGGAATCTTCATAAATAATTTCGCGAGAATGGGCGCGACTTTTGAAGAGCATTTCTAGCCTGAAATAAGAAACGAGCAAATAATTCGTAAAAATATTTTTTAGTTCTCATTCTCAGTCAATGTAAAGTTCTCGCCACGAAAGAAGGAACCTCGCTGGGTACCCCCACTCTCCTGAATTCAGCTTTCAATCCACGGCCCCCACCACTCAAGCCGATGTTACTTCTTTCGTGGCACGGACTTTACACATTAATGTATTGGTTATGAAAGGAAATATTGTAAATTCACCGAAAAAAGGTCTCATAAACAAAGTTGGAGAATCGCAAATTAAAAATAGTATGGAAATAT